GGGTTCGATCCCTGGCATCCCAGGGTATGGCCATCGAAAAGAACAAGAAAAATTAGTGTCATCATTTAGCCTGCATACTGCATGCACCCAGGACATGGAACATCAACTTGCCAAGCCCAGGGGCCTGGAATGCAGACCCCAGTCAGCACGACTTCTGTGCAGACCGCCCAGGACAACATCCTGGCCATAGTCCTCAGCACGCAGGTATCAGCGATGCTCCTCATGTGACAGCCAGGGGGACCTAGGCACAGATCCAGGGCCCCAGACTCTCCATATAGTGCAGGACTCACAGCAGCTCAGAGCCCACTGGTCTAGACCTATTTCATCATGGTCACTGATAATTACCCACTCTGACTCCCTTGATTTACAAAGGAGTAACCAGGGACCAGAAAGGGTGGCAGACATGGCCCAGGGCACACAGCCAGCATGGGGCAGAGGTGGAAAGAGGTAGCAGGTGTGGGAAATACAGATATACACAGATCAGAGGGGGCTGGCGGGACAGGGACGATTCCCTGGGACTTGTGATTGCTGTCTTGGTTCTGCTCGCTCACCTGCTGCTGTCACTCACTGTCTCACCTCTACTGTGAACACATGCCCGAGCACTTCCCTGGCTGCTTCAGGGAAAGCCACTGTCTGGTGAGTGTGGGGCATGTGTCTGTGTACAGGGGTGGGGGTCCTCCTTGGCTTTTCTCCTGTGTACATGAGCTGAGAAGGTGCTAGCCCCAAACGCTTTTCTTCTATTGTTGTTATTATCATATATATATATATATATTTGCTTTTTGGGTCACACCTGGCGATGCACAGGGGTTACTCCTGGCTCTGCACTCAGGAGTTACTCCTGATTGTGCTCAGGGGACCATATGGGATGCTGAGAATCAAACCCTGGTTGACCAAGTGTAAGGCAAATGTCCTACTCGCTGTGCTATTGCTCCAGCCCCATCTATTGTTGTTGTTGTTATTATTTTTGTGTGTGTGCGTGAAGTTTCAGAGGGAGTAAACCCAGGACTCCGCACATGCAAGGCAAGAGGTCTACACTGAGCTACCTCTCTGTGGCTCCCAAAGTCTCTTAAAGGGCAAAGGCTGGAAAGGGCACTAGTGCTTATCTTCATTTTGTAGCAGATAAATGCAGTCAAACATTATTACTCTCCCCTTTCCTGGTGTGTAACATGCAATCATTTGGACGGGAACCAGGTAGAAAGCAATCTTTGCCTATTCCAGGAAAACATAACCAAACAAATGCACAGCATCAGCAGGGTGTTAGGGGAATTATCTGAAACCACTTCAAAATATAAATGATAGTCAAGGGCTCTTGGTGGCCCTGAAGTACAAGGTCATACAATGGTCATACAATAGCTATGTCCACGTCTCTTCTCGATGTGCCTGCGTGGGACCATGGCTGAATACACAAATAAAGCCATTCCTCTCTGTTAAAATGGTTCTTGTGCAGAGAACCTTTATTAATGGTCTTCCACAACTTAAAACATCTGCAGACTTAAGCATTTTCCTTCTGCTAGGATGTGGTACTAATTAGGAGGGGTCACCTAGCATGTGGTGCTAATTAGGAAGGGTTTTATTAATTTCTAAATCTGGGGGAGAGAAGGATCAAACCCCTGAAGGCAAAGTCATGCCAGAAAACCAAGAATTCTCTAGAAACAGCTGCAGGGAGAGCAGAGCACAAATAGTGACCTTGGGCAAGATCCTTCCCGGGCAGTCACACTGCCCAGATGGCTATTCCAATGCTGGGCAGGCCACTGAGGCAGAAGGTAAAAATAGTTCTCTGTGGGTGGGACCAGGGACTCCAGAAAGGACAAAGGAGGGAATACTTGGTGGGTCCCATCCAGACATCCTCCTCTCACTTTTGAACTTGGGAAAGAGTCTGCGAGACTGAATAGTCTTATTGACAGTGGCCCACACAGGGAAACGGAACCAGGGTCCCTTAACTGCAGCAACAGTCCAAAGCCGAACCACGCCCCTGCAGCCGAACTGTGACTTGGATAGTTAAGCTACACCCCCAAATCTAAATCCCCAAGGTCAAGCCCTAATAACCAGAACTTGATCAATACTTGACAATTTCCCACTTTTTTATTTATTTATTTCTTTTTTTTTTTTTTGCCTCCAGTTTCAGCATAGCCCTCCGCCACTTGAGCATGCTAGCAGTAGCCCCTCGGAGATGACCCTAAAGCTCTCTGCTCTCCTGTCTGCTTCTGCCAAGGTGAGTGGTGGAGGGGGACACTGGCCACAGCTAGCCCCGAACAAAAAGCCTTTGCTTGTTCTTCTATGGCTGGACTTCGTTCCCCCACCCCACCCCAGACTCATTCCCATCCCTTCTTGCACCCAGTTCACAGAACAACCTCCCCACTCTGTTTCCTATCCAGAGAAATCAGTTCAGCGATGGTGGAAGAAAGGCTGAGGGCATCGTTAAGAATGTAGCTCTGCCAATAGAAAATAGATTATTTAGCATCTGCCTCTGACAGGCAGGCTTGAATAGTGGTGGGAAAATTCAAGCAAACTATTAATGCCCAAAAGTAGAGAGAGTGTATTGGAGAAATTGTCTGCCATAGAGGCAGGGTGAGGATTGGGATGGGGTTGGGGGCAGATTGGGGACACTGATAGTGAAAATGTGTACTGGTGGAGGAATGAGTGTTTGAGCATTGTATGGCTGAAGCTCAAACATGAACGCTTTGTAACTGTATCTCATGGTGATTCAATTAAAAAAAAAAGAAGAATGTATCTCTGAAACAGGAGAGTTCTCCTCTGATCACTGTGCTGTGTGGTTTTGAGTAAGACCACTTACCACTCTGAGCCTTTGTTTCCTCACATCAAGGGGACAAGCAACAGAAGGCAGGGTTGGGGTAAGGCTGGTGAATATTTAAGGCACACAGCACGCAAGCAGTGCTTGGTATAAGAAAGGTCAATTATCCGCCTCTTCACAGAACATTGCTGCAGTAGGCAGCTCCTGTAGGAGGCACAATCTTTATTCACTCTGTGCCTTCTCCTCCTTCCTCTCTCCCTCCCTCCCTCTCTCCCTTCTCTCCATCCAGTTGCTTCTTTTAGTCCTCCACCAATGGTATCTCCAACATCTTTGACCTAAACAGCTGCAAAACTCCCCCATGTCAGCCAGTTAGGCAGTATTGCAGCTGAGATTCTTGTCTTGCATGCAACCAACATGGATTCAATCTCTGGCAGCGTATTTGGTCCCTCCAGTCCCACCAGGATTAATTCTTAAGCACAGAGCCAGGAGTAAGCCCTGAGCCCAAAAAGGCATGGCCCAAAGGCCTCTCTCCGCCCTGCCCTCAGTCCTTATGATCTTTCCTTCCTTCCCCACACCATCAAAAAATCCAAATTAATAGAGGGGTGAGAAAAATGCCCTCCATCCCACAAACTCTGACCCCAAAAATGACCAGACACAGGGCTGGGGGCAGTGCCCTTATTCCCTACACCACGTGTAGATTAGTAGAATTCTGGATTGCAGGATGAGGTTGTGTATGCTGCAGGATTATTTTTTAAACTAAAACTGAATTAGAAAAGTACTGTTTTTGCACAAAGAGTGTGTTACAAGGCTCTTTATGGTAATTTTCTTTCTGGTGCAAAAAAGGAAAAAAGAAAAGAACTCAAACACCCAAAAATAGATGCCTTGGTTAAATACCCGGAAACTGTGTCTCACTGCAGAGCAGTGGTTTCCAAAGTGGGGTTCAGAGGCACATCAGAGCATCCTCTGGGTGACAGAGATGTGTATTCTGGGCCCCATTCTGTACCCCAGACCTACTGACTCAGAAACCTGGGGGTGAGCAAATCCCCAAGTCTCAGAACCACGGAGACAGCTGAGACATTAGGAAGGAAGCTACCCACAAAATGACAAAGAAGTACAAAACAGCCTTCCAGTAGGGCTGGGTGACCCATACATTCCCATTTTGGGGAAGGAGCATAGTCCATGTGTGCAGGGGCCAATACTAGCTCTGGGCTCTGTGCTCAGAAGTGAGAGGCCATCAAACCGCGTCTGCCACATGCAGGACAAAAGCCTTGGCTCCTGTACTAGCTTCAGGATCCTAGAAAACAGAGTGGTAACTTCTGCACTCTGGGTGTGGGATTATGAGGTTTGGCATTTTTAAATTATGCTAATTTATATTCTAACTAGTCTACAGTGAGGTGTGGTTTTCCTATGTGTGGTCATATCCCGCTGTGCCATGGGACTAAATGGGGGACTAAATCAAACCCAAATGTACTCTCTACCCACTGCTTTATTCCGCCCTCCAGAGGTGAGTTTTATTCCGCCCTCCAGAGGTGAGTTTTTTGCTTTGTTTTGTTTTGCTTTTGGGTTTTTGTTGTTGTTGTTGTTGTTGTTTTGCTTTTGGGTAACACACGGCAATGCACAAGGGTTACTCCTGACTCTGCACTCAGGAGTCAGTCCTGGCGTGCCCAGGGGACCATATGGGATGCTGGGAATCGAACCCGGGTGGGCTGCGTGCAAGGCAAACGCCCTACCCGCTGTGCTATCACTCCAGCCCCCTCCAAAGCTGTGTTTTTGTTTAAAAAAAAAAAAACAAAAAAAAGACCCTCCTTATTTGGGGATGGGCCGGGAAGGGAAAGGAAGCAGAGGTCATCTGCCACCGCAACATTTTTCAGCACCCTCGAGAGATTGCGGTGATGCAGGGCCTTGGCGCAGAAGCGAAAGGAGGGAGAGGGGGAGGCGGCCCTGCCGCGAAGCCCCTCTGGGCTCCCTCGCAGAGCGCAGCAGAGCAGAGGACCCACTTGGGAAGATCCTAACTGCCAAGAGCCCCAATTCCAGGCCCTGGCGTCCTGGGAAGACTTTTTTTCCGGCCATGATCTTAGGCTGCTCCGCGTCGGGGCTTCACTCCAAGCCGCTGCGAGGTCGCCGCAGCCTGGAACTCCCGGGGCGCGGCAGCCGGGCTACCGGCCCGCCGACGGCGACAGGGCGGGGCGTTTCTAAGGGGCGGGGCGTTTCTAAGGGGCGGGACCGCTCCCGGGGGCGGGGCCTCGCTGGGGGCCGGGCGGCGGGAAGTCGGTGGCTCAGTCCCCGACAGCTCCGCGCTCTGGGCCGGGTGTGCGGCTGCCGCGCCGCCTGTTGCTCGCGCCTCCGGGCCGCCGCTTCCCGCCCGCGGTCCAGGGGCAGGCGGCCCGAGAGGTGCCACGCACGGGCAGCCTCCCGCCCTCCCGTCCTCGCGCCTGGGGGGACCTCCCTGAACCGGCCCACGGAGCGCGTCCCGAGAGCCCCGCGCCCGGCGCGATGAACACGACCTTCCTGAACCAGAGCGACCTGGAAGCGGCGGGCGGCGTCCAGGGGAACCGCAGCCACGGCCTGGGCACGTGGCTGGGCTGCTGCCCGGGGGGCGCGCCGCTGGCCGCCAGCGACGGGGTCCCCGCGGGGCTGGCGCCCGACGAGCGCAGCCTGTGGGTGGCGCGCGTGGCGCAGATCGCCGTGCTCTGCGTGCTGTCGCTCACCGTGCTCTTCGGCGTCTTCTTCCTGGGTTGCAACCTGCTGCTCAAGTCGGAGAGCATGATCAACTTTCTGGTGCAGGAGCGCCGGCCCTCCAAGGACGCGGGCGCCGCCATCCTGGGGCTGTACTGAGCGCCCGGCGCGCCCCTGGGCCACGCGCCTCGGGGGCTGCTCGGACACACGAGCCCCCGGGTCCGCAGCCACGTTCTCCGGCCCGGAGCATCCCGAGGCTCGAGGGGCGGCGGCCGACAGCCCTGCACGGGCGCCCCAACCCCGGCGACACCGCGCGTCTCGCGGAAAGGGACCTCCTGACCCGGCTCCCCGGTCCATCGTGCGCTCCAGCCTTGCGGGAGGGAGCGGGGAGGGGATTCCTCACTTTCAAAAAGAAGAAGAACAAGAAGTTCGGTGGCATATGGGCTGCAACTTGGGGCTTAAGTCGCTCGCAAGGCGCGTTTTGTGTGTGCGCGCGCGCGCGGGTGCGGGGAGAGATGCTGGGTCCAGGTCTCAGCTGATTTTGCATCTAAAGAAATCTTGTAATAAAACTGTAGCTGTCGGGCCTGACCTTCAGGTGGCGTCCCACCCCTACCTCTGTGTATGTGTGTTGTGTGGGTGTGGGTGTGTGTCTGTGCATGTATGTGGTGTGTGTTGTATGGTCTATGCTGTGTGTGCATGCATATGGTCTGTGTGTTGTATGGTCTGTGTGGTGTGTGTCTGCATGTGTGTGGCAGTGGTGTGTATGTGTGTATGGTATGTGTGTTGTACGGTCTGTGTGGTGTGTGTCTATGTGTGTGGTCTGTGTGACGTACGATCTGTATGGGTCTATCTGTGTTGTCTAGTCTCTGGAGGTACATGTGAGGTATGTGTGTCTATTTGCATGTGTGTGTTGTTTGGGTGTGAGTGTGTGTGTGTGTGTGTGTGTAATGTTTGGAAGCAAGCACTTATTGTGGGGAACCTGACCCCAGGACTGGGTTGTAGAAACAGCCAGTGAAATCAATGAAATCACTAAGAAATTTGAATTGATTATTACATGAACTGAAAAAAAAATTCCATGACTTCAGGCTGAAAGGGGGAAATAGCAAAATCAACACATTGGGGCCTAGAACAAATGAAACAGAATGGGGGATGGAGATCTAGGTAAGATCTTAGTAATAGATTTCAGCATATCCTTTAACCTCGGACATGTTTTCCTCCCTCTCCTCCCCAGAGAGGTGAACAGGCTCCCGGAAAGAGTCTTCGCTGCACCCCACAGTGGGGAGAGCCTACTGGCTATGGGGGCGATAAGGGGAGAGGGGCTTTGTGGAGTAAAGGATTTGGGATGTTTGAAAGGCAAAATACAGGCTTCACAGTGCATCTGTTTGTGCAGGGCATTTGGACAGTTGGTGGGAGAAGCCCTGAGGAATCCTGGTGCCTGGATGGTGCAGGACTTGAAGCCTAGAAAACAGAACCAGGACACTGGCCGGGGGAGGTGGTGTGGCTGGGGCAAGTGGCCAAGGGCTGGCCTGGGAGAATGATGGCTTTGTGGTCTGTATAATCCCATCCCCGGAGTCAACCGCGGAGTAATTGGGTTTCTGAGGGGGAGAGCTGCTTTGCATTCCCTTTTCTCTGGCTGAAGCCTGAATTGGCACTGGAAAGAGAAGCAGCTGGAACATTTCAGCCCTCGTTTCATACTGGGGGTTAGGGAGTGTCAGAAATACCGAGGGCCACTGATTAGGGAGGCTCTAGAATCTTCTGATCCCTGGACCTTCCTGCACCTAGAATCTTTGGGATCAGGATGCCCTTCCCGTATATCTCCCTCACAGCCACCTCTAATGTCTGACCTGGGAACATGGGTCCAGGTAGTCAGACAGGCCAGCGATGGTCAGGGTCAGAGACACCTTATGGAGTATCTATGAGGCAAAACCTCCCATGTGCAGAACCTTCTCTGGGAAATTTGGTGAGATCCGCCAATGGTCCAGCCTGATCTGAGAAGTGTGGCATTGAGTGATTCAGGTACCTAGGTTGGGAGAGTTGGGGCTCAGGTCACCCCAGGCGTCTGGGCCCTGGAGGGGAACCAAAGGGCAGACTTATGCAGCTCAGGGGATGGCCCATCCTCCCAGAACCACCCCCAACGGTGGCAAAATGGGAGTTTGGGGCGGGGAACCCAAGCTTACACACTTCCTGTCCGAGTGAGAGCAGAGTTTTCCTCTGAGAAACTGGACGGGCTGCGGAAGGCGCTGGGAACAAGAAGGGAGACTGAGGAGTGAGGTTTCCACAATTTGCTGGGTGAGGAAAGCCTTGGCGGGAAGCTTTGCAGGATCTCCTCCCTGGAGAAGAAGCAACGGATAATCAAGACAGGTGTGTGTGTGTGTGTGTGTGTGTGTGTGTGTGTGTGTGTGTGTGTGTGTGAGTCTGCCTGCTGGACCCGCCAGCCCAGCTCAGGACGGTGATGAGGGAATGGGGGGACAGGGAGAGGCATGTGTCTGCTGAAATGTTCCCCAGAGGCTCAGGTCAGGCAACAGGGGCTTGGTCAGGGACATGGGGAAGGTGGGATCCCATGTAAAACCTCTCTCGGCTCTCCCTGAAGGAAGGGCTGCTGGCGAGCGCTGTTTACCGAGCCTTCTTATATAAAGCGTGGGGGCAGGGGACACGGTTATATAAGAGCATGAGGCGCCGTGCTCCAGGGAAAGCTGGGACTGGAGCACGATCCTGAGTCTGGAGCATGGGGTGAAGGATGAGAAGGGGTGCAGGGGGCAATCTTCCTACAAGGTCTCACCAGGGACGTGGAGCAAAATCTGTAGAGATCCTGAGACTAGAAGAGATCTAAGACTCCCCAGTCTTTGACATCTTGGTTGTCCTGCTTGAAGCTCTGTGAATCCGAGGCAGTTATGCTGCTCCCAGGTTCCTGTTCACTCTATTGAATGGAAGCATTAGGACCCACCGTGCTGGGGAAGAGGCGTGTGAAGAATCCAGCACAGTGCCTGGCACATAACAGACATGTAGCAAGGACCATTAGCACTGTAGCACTGTCATCCTGTTGTTAATCGATTTGCTCGAGTGGGCACCAGTACTGTCTCCATTGTGAGACTTGTTGTTACTGTTTTTGGCATATCAAATATGCCACAGGTAGCTTGCCAGGCTTTGCCGTGTGGGTGGGATACTCTCGGTAGCTTGTCGGGCTCTCCAAGAGGGGTGGAGGAATCGAACCTGGGTCGGCCGCATGCAAGGCAAATGCCCTACCCTCTGTGCTATTGCTCTAGCCCAGGAAGGATCATTATGCTGCTGTTTATCATTGCACCTCATAGGAATTCTTTTTTGATGTTGTTTTGTTTGAGGGCCACACATGATGGTGTTCAGGGGTCACTCCTGGCTCTGCACTCAGGAATCACTCCTGGAGGTGCTCGAAGTACTGTATATGTGATGCTGGGGATCGAACCCAGGTCAGCCTTGTGCAAGGCAAATGCCCTACCCACTGTACCATCGCTTTGACCCTCTTGTAGGAATTCTTTCCTAGCAAAATAGACTGCGTTCTCCGAAATGAGATCCCTGCACAGAGACAGGGTCATTGGTACTTTCCAACTTCCTAAAACCTTGTAATTTTCAAAGCTCTTTCTGAAGCAGGACAGAAAATGAGGCCCGAGCTTCCGCCCTCAGGAGGAGGGTTTCATTACTATCCCATTTTAGAGATGAGGATACTGAGGGGTAGTGAACTTTCCTATGGTCACACAGCTATAGATAAGGTCAGAGCTAGCAATCAGCCCCACCCTGGTCACTCCAGCTTTCACTTTGTATGATCTTGCTTGTGTTGGGCAATGACCTAGCCACAATCCCTGGCCTGGCCTGCACAGGCCTGATAGCTCACTGCTGGGGGACCCTGGAGAGCTGGGACCGTTGAGCTAATACCTGGTCCCATTTGCTTGTTTTAAGATGAGAAAACTCTGGAGTGATAGTACAGTGGGTAGGGCATTTGCCTTCCACACGGCTGACCCGGGTTCGATTCCCAGCATCCCATATGGTCCCTTGAGCAGTGCCAGGAGTAATTCCTGAGTGCAAAGCCAGGAGTAACCCCTGTGCAATGTCAGGTATGACTCAAAAAGTCAAATAAATAAATAAATAAATAAAGATGAGAATACTCAAGTTCAGTGTAATGAGCTTGTCCCTGTTCATTCACTCATCCAGAGTCTGTTGTGGATCTTCTTGAGATTCAGACCCTGTGCTGAGCTACATGAGCAGGGACCTGGCAGAGAAGACAACAGCCCTGGCCCACAGCCCCTGAAACCCTTGCTCCTCAGGGCCACTCACCCCGGGGGACAGGTAGTTGGTTCCAGATACCTCAGAGACCAGGCCCAATGTCCACTTCTAGTTTTCCTTCCTCTGGGTGAGGGTACTAAGGTGCCCTCACTAGCAAGCGTCCCCTGGGAGGTGAAGACAGAGGAGTTTCTGCACCACAACATCCACTTTCCTCCCTTCCTATTTGCAGGAGTGGAGTTCACACAGCCCTGCTTAGCAGGCTCCTGGCAGCAGAACTCTCTCCTTGCAGTGAAAAGCATGAGGGGAGGTTTCAAGGGAAAGAGGGGAGCGTGGGAAGTGGCAGAGATGACAAGAATGCAGCTCCCGACCAGTATTCTAAGGGAGAAAAGGTACGGCCATGCACATGCGTGAGCACACACTTTGGTTCCATTCAAAACATGCTCATGGAGTTTGTTGGCAACATCTCAGTGTGTCCTTCTGGGCCTCTTGCAGAGGCCACACCAGGTGGACCAGAGAGATGGTGCAAAGGGCTGAGTGTAGTATGTTCTGCCTCGGGAACTCCAGGTTCTATCGCCAGCCTCACCTGGACCTGGAACTCTGTCAAGTTTGGTCTTTCCCTCACTCTCCACCAATACCCCCCCCCAAAAAAAAATTCACAGGAGGTATGTAGGATTCCCAGAACCCTGATTCCTAACTTAGGTCAATCAAAGCAAGTGTCCAGGCCTTGGAGAGGGAGGGGGTATCCTGAGAGTGTGTCTACTTATCCTTGCAGCTGGACAAGAAATACATGACAGAGACCTTCCTACCCATGGTTAGGGACAGTTTCCTCTTTGTCAAACACTCTGGAATTTTCTAAAAAAAAAAAAAAGACAACAGAGTTGGGGTGGGTTTTTTTGTTTGTTTATTTGTTTTTTGTTGGGTTGGCATTTTGGGTCACACCTTATGATGCTCAGGGCTTACTCCTGGTTCTGCACTCAGGAATTACTCCTGGTGATGCTGGAGGGAACCATATAGAATGTGCAGGGGATTGAACCTGGGTTTGATATGTGCAAGGCAAATGCCCTATTGGTCCAGCATTTTTTCTTTTTTTTTTTTTAAGTCACTTGAGAGCCAG